AATAGGCCACCGCCTCGATACCCGCCGCCCCCCCCTCGGCAGCCCTCCCCTCCGCCGCCCCCCCCGCCGCCGCCTTCCCCCCCGCAGCCCCCCTCCCCAACGCCCTCCCTTCCGCCGCCCCCCTCCCCGCTGCCCCCGCCTCCGCCGCCTCCCGCCCCGCCCCCCCCCGCTCCGCCGCCCCCCCCTCCACCGCCCTCCGCTACGCCGCCACCCCCCCCGCCACCGCCCTTACGGCTCCGTCGACTACAAGGGGATCGAACAGGTCTCGGGGCGCCACTTCCAGCACGTCGCCAACAACGCCCTGCAGCAAGACATGTTCGACGCCATCGTCAACGACCCGAAGGTGCACCCGGCGACGCGAGCGCACTTCCGCTCGACGAAGCAAGCGCATTGCGCACGCTTTGGACGGTGGCGAAGCCAAAAACACCGATGGTGGCCGTCCGCTGGCGTGAGCGGCAGCGGTCGAGACCTCACCCTTCGCGCCGACGACCCAACCTTACGCGGAACAACCAACCCAGGCCCAACAACCCAACCCTACCCACAGACCCCGATTCTCCTGTTGGGCCCTCAGGCTGGTTAGATTTCTTTTTCCTGCGAAGCCAACAACAACACCTGTTGATGGTGCGTTTTCTTTTGACCGCGCAAGATAAAAGGGTGGCTAAGGGCTCTGCCCGCAAGGCGCCCGCGTCGCAGACGCGGTACCATTGACAAATCTGCGATATACCCCCACACGAACAAATAGCAAAATCCGAATACCGTGCACGAACTGGGCGATGTGGGACGCAAGCCTTCAGCTGGTGCCAAGACATTCGTAAAATTGAAGCCAAGCATCCGCCAAATCGTGCTTTCGCGCTACCTGAGGGGAAAGCCGCTGATCGAGCCCAGCGTGCCCGCGGCCGCCTCCCGCGCAGCACCGCCGCTGCGGAATCGGATCGATCCCATGGAGGAGGAGGGCGCAGTCGGCCAGCGCAGCAGGCGGAGTCCCTCCCCGCGCCGGAGCCCCCCTGCAGTCGAGGGAGTCCTCGTTGGCGATGAAGGTGGCGACATCGAATCGCGGCCGACACACGTCACGGGAGGAATGGGCGATGAGCGGGAACGATGCGCGCTACGGCGCCGTCTCCGCCGTGCTCGTGGCCGCAGAAAGCCGCGCTCCAGGAGCACGCCAAGATGCAATGGCTCGCTTGCTTCGATTCAGCTCTCTCGGCAGCAGAAGTGGGGCTGGAGCGGGTGGGGGTGGATGCCGATTGAGGGGGAGCGTCTCCAGCTGCGCCCTGTGGCAGCTGCGCCCTGTGGCAGCTAGTCGAGGGACTTGGTAGTTGTGACCCTCCTGAGTGAGGACAGGAGAGAGAGAGCGTTTTGTGGTGTTTGTTGGTGTACGCAATAACGGGACAGGGTGGTTGTTCTCTCTATCTCCTCTTCTAGCTCTTAGCATGAGCTGCGCCCGGTGTCCGACCCCTTTTGCGCAGCAACACCTTAAACTTTTAGGCCCTCCAACTTCGGGTCGGAGCGTAGCGGAGTGGGCCCCGAGTTTGAAAAGGGCGACGGACGCTTGCGTCCTAGCCTCCAACAACGCCTCCCCGGCGCAGAGGGGCCCCCGGAGGGATGCACAACCGCTCCACGCCACGCCGCTTGCGGCGGTCCTCTTCCCAGCTCCGCTGACGCGCGTGCGTTATTCTCGGAAGCCGGACTCAGAGAAGACTGGCGTGGCGGGCTGGAGGCAGTCGGCTACATGCGGCTCCTCGCCTGGTCATGGGCCGTCGCTGCGCTGGCATGGCGCCTTTCTCGGAAGCCGGACTGAGAGAAGACTGGCGTGGCGGGCTGGAGGCAGTCGGCTACATGCGGCTCCTCGCCTGGTCATGCCGTCGCTGCGCTGGCGATGGCGCCTTTCCTTGGCCCGAGTCAATTCTCGCCGGCCCTCCGTCGGAGGGTGCCGCGGCCACCGTTGGTCGGGCCGGCTGTACGTCGCCTCCGCCTGTGGCGCCTCGCTGTGCGGATGTTTCTTCGTCCTGCTCAAGGGCTTCAAGCTCTCCGGCGGGTACAACATGGGCGCCGCCTTCCTCCTCGCGGGAGGCTGGTTTGGCGTCGCCGCCGCCATGACCGCGGTCCGCGCGTGGCAGCAGCGGTACGCAGCGCACCGCGCGTGGGCGATCCGCTCCTACTCGCAGGTCCTGGCGCCGATGCTCTACAGATACTGGTACGTGGCCGCCACCGCGCTGTTTGGGTGCCGGCCAATCGCTGCCGCACGTACCTGCACGGACGGCGTCTCTTCACGGCGCGTTGAGCTGTGAACAGGTACCGCCCGCCGCGCGAGGCGCGAGAGTACCCGGGCGGCATGTGCGACGGCGACACCTGCGCCGACTACTTCCGGCCCTTCGACATGCCGCACGCGCGGAGCCTAGATGCGGAAGCACCACACCCCGCGCGCTCGATCCCACCTCTCCGAAATCATCGCTGCTGCGTCAGGACGCGGGCACCTCGCGAAAAGCTGATCATGCCCAGCCATCCTCACCCCCCGAAGCAGCTGTGGCCGCGATTTCAGCCGGTCTCGTGACCGCCCCGCCCCGGCAGGCGCGCGTTTGAGCGAGGCCGTCGTGCAGCGCACCGAGAAGGGGCCGGTCGCGCGCAGCGCCACGCCGCAGGCGTCCGCCGGAGGCTGTATGCGGCGGCCACTTCCCCTCGGTCTTTCGCCGCGCTCCGGCCGCACCTTGGCTCCTGGCCGTCTCCTCCGAGTGGCTTTGCGCGCCCCCAGCGCGCTGTCGAGGCTGGCAAAGGGGAATACGCGTGCAGCGCCGCGCAGGCGCTCCGCCGATCAGCGCCCGGCCGCAGCGCGCAGCGCAAGGCTGGTCGCCGGCCGGCGGAGACCCCGTAGGGCCGCCGGAGGCTCTTTGGGCCGACACAGTCATGCCGCCTTTTTCCCGCAGGGCTCGTCTCCGGCCCGCGGACAACAGCGCGCTCTCGCCGGCGCGCTCTCGGCCATACGCGAGCAGGCCCCCCTCGCTCACGACCCCCCTTGCAATCACACGCAGGTGAAGCTCGGCCGGTGGCATGGGAGAGGCGAAGCAGTGGGCGTGCCACAGCGATGCAGGGGCTGGCTGTGGGCCTCCGGGCTCCGTCTCGGGCTCGCGTCTCCTCGGCCATCACGTGCCTACTTTGCGCCGGAGCGTGTCTGTCCGGCCCCTGTTCGTCCTCACCCCTCTCCTTCTCGTGGCCCGACGCTCATCGCCACTCGAGAGTCCAGACTCAAGTATGTATGTACAGAGTGTTGTTTTGAAAAAGAGCATTTGAACAATCCCGGGTACTGCGCGCTCGGACATCTGCAGTCCGGCGGGGCGGTCTAGGCTACGCTTTCAAGCTCTATCCAGACTCTGCAGGCCATGAAGAGGAGCGCAGATTAAAATGGCGCCGCAGGCTCCCCGGGCCGTCCGCGCACAGACCACAGGAAAAAACAAAAATCTATAAAACATCTATCAACACCACTAGGGGGTGGGTGGGCTCCGATCTCCCCATCTCCAATACTCTCTAATCCACAGCGTCGTCATCTTAGGCCGGGGATCCAGTCAGATCTCCGATCTCCATCTTCAATCTCCAATCTCCAACGTCGTCATCTTAGGCCGGATTCAGTCAGATCTCCGATCTCCATCTCCAATCTCCAATCTCCAATCTCGATTCGGGCACCCGGGGGAGGAGGGGGGCTCAAACCTTCAAGGAGATGCGCTATGGATTCATTCACACTGACCATCTCTCATCTCCAATCTCCAATCTTCTACTTGGCCACTGTCGCCGCCGGCAGCATCTACGACCTCCATTTTCAATCTTCGATCTCACATCTGGGGCGGATGGCTGGGCGCTAGGATCTACAATCTGCATTCTCCATCTCCTATCTCCACATTTTGGCCCGTGTTGCTGCTCAGCGATCTGCAATCCACAATCTCAATCTTCGATCTTTAGTCTTGAATGGGGAACCGGACTGGAGGGATCTACTGGCGAGACTTGGGCGTGTCCGTGTGAGAGATCCGCTAGGATCTCCAGTCTTAATCTACTATCTCTACCCCAACGATCTACTGGTCTTGCGTAGAGATGTCCATTACTCCGGCCCCCTGTATCGGGGTTATGGGGGAGGTCTCGCGAGTTTTGGGGGTACTCAGCGCCGCGACAGCGCTGCGAGCAATGGATGCCATGGCGCTCGGCCTGCTGAGAGAAGACCTTCCCGGACGGCAGTGACAAGTTACCCGACATCAATCGTCGACGGCAACCTCGAGAACTGCGCCTCCAAAGTCGCCCAGATTCGCCTCTCGCGGCGCGCTGAGTTAGTATCGCCGGTGCGCCAGCAGGCTCTGCTCCACAGCAGGGCATGCCCGACTGGCTCCTGCTAGCCGTGCGTCCTGGTGGCATCCATTGCCAGCTCAGGTAGCCTCAGGAGGTCGCCTCGCGCACGACGCGGCGCCGCACAGCACCGCTCAGCGTTACTACCGAGTTAGTATCGTCGACCCACAGAGACTGCTCTTCTGTAGGTGGAGCCGACAAACGCCGGCCGGGTCGGCCCCGCCGCCCCCATCGCCGACGCCGGGGCGGCGGCGGCTTCGGCGGACCATCCGGCGCGCCGCGCGCCCATCGGGGAGGTGTTCACCACCCCTGGCTCCTCACCCCGCCTTCGTGCGGACGCCGTGGCACCCACCTCAGGCGCCGCTCGGACTCGGTTGACGGCCGCCCAAGTGCTTGGCTCGTGCCAAGCCGACCGGCAGGCGATTCCCACTCACTGCTAGGCTAATCTCGGGCTGTCCTGCGTCAGTGTGGTGCCGTGAGGGGCGCCGCCCCCAAAACTACGATCGTTAGTACCGCGCGGGGGCAGTGCATTTAATTCTGTCAAAAATCCAAATCTGCTCCGTGGAGCTTATTGGGCTAGGATCATACGTCCGGGAGGCCCCCCATGCGTGCCGTAACGATCGACAGCGATCTGGCTACTCTGTTCACGTTCACACCTCGTAAAGCCACCGACAAGTGGCAAGGCTCATTGGGCAGGAGCAGATTCGCCACGATCTGGTCGGCCGTGAACACGACGCTGCGTGTTTGTCCCATCAGCAAAACCAAAGTCCACTGGCGAGGGTTGGTGCGCGACGCCTCGATCAGCGCCATTCGCTCCTCACGCACCGGATCGTCCATGGCTCCGAGGAGCGAAGGCGACACCGACGCGGAGATGACGAGCGTGATGCGGCCGTCGTCAGCCGGCACGATTCCGACCTTCGCAAAGGACTTCATCGGCGACAACTCGCCCGCGACGTTGCCGTCCTTGAGCGGGCCGGGCTCGCCCTGGCCCTCGGACGGGACGTTGTCGGTGCCGGTGCTGGCGGTGCCGGTGCCGCCGGTGCCGGTATCGATGCCATCCTTGAGCGAGACGGGCTCGGAGGGGATGCCGACGGCGTTGCCGCCGCCAGAGTCGCTAACGGTCGTGTTGTCCGCCAGAGACGCCTGTCAGTCTTGCAGGGAAAGCGCAGCGTTGCGTGCGTTGCAGCGGTGTACACCCCCTCCCTCAGCCACTGCAAATTAACGCACATCCACCTGCTTGTCAGCAAGCGGCGGCGGAGTGGGGTCCACCGAGTGTGCAGAACGCGCGAGCGGTGCGTCCCGGCTGCGGAGCGGACACAAAGTCGCCGCCGAGCGTGCCACCGACGGCGTCCCGGCGGAGGTGATGGAGTGTGAGACCTGAGGCTGCGGAGGTGACGCCTGAGGTACCGGGCCGTGCACGGCGACTCAGCCGGCGACCGCCACGGGCTCAGACGAGACTTGTCGACGCGTTCCGGCTCAGCTTCACCGTGGTCATCGGGCGTCTGTCGACGTCAGGACCACCCATACAGCTCGCGGGTTTGAGGTCGCAAGAGCCAAGATGGTGGCGTTTGGACATCCCAACCATCCCACAAGACAGCCTGTAGGTGATGGCGGGACGGCGCAGTGTTTGTGGCACTCGGCAGTAGGCACCCGCGGCACGGCCCCGCTGTCGGCTCTCGCGGGCTGCGGAACTGGACCCAGAAGGGGACGGTCCGGGCGAGTGTGGCAGCTCCTGCGCTAGTATGGGCACCCTCTATTATAGCACTACTGATCCTGGTCATTAGAGCTGCCAGGGATAGCGTCAGGAGCCGGTAGGAGTCAAAACCCCTCATATTTTTGAGACATCGTGTCCCATATACTCGTGCAACAACCCGCATATACTCGCACAACGAGCCAGCAAATGGTCTTTGCCAATGCGTGGGGAGAGGGAGAGGATGTAGTGCCGAAGGCCAGGGTTGCGTACTCTTCTGTTGCAGCGCTTCGTACAACGCAGTAGTTTTTCACAGTACACGAGTCACCTCGCGCCGCGCGCGGCCTCGTTCACCATCCGCGACCGCCGGCGCAGTACGTATAGTTTCTTCGCCTCTGTGCTCGAGATGTCGAAAGCGGTCTCAACCTCCGCCCTTAGCGCCTCTCCAGCCTTGGCGTCCTCGGTCGGCACAGCCTCCTCGGTAGTGCCGCGGCGCAGCGGCGCCGCCGAGCAGCCGCTGTCGGACGCGTTCGAGCCGTTCGCGCCGGGTGGCGGCTCGAGCGGCGGGGGCTGCCTGCGGAGGGAAGGAGTCTGGCTCTAGGCTCTCCCCTCCATGGATACGGCCACCGTTGGAGAGGAGGGAAGCTAGTCGACAAATGAGGGAGGAGGGGGAGGGTGCGGGGGGGGGTCCTGGAATCGGAGGGGACTTGGGTCTTTCGGCTGTGATTCCGGTGCCTGCGGAGAGCGTCGCCGTAGAGGCTTTCGTCGCACCGCGTCGCGTCGGCAAAGTGGCGTCGCCTACATCTCGGGCAGTCTCGAACGGTCTCGGGCAGTCTCGGGGGGAGCCTCGGTGTCTCGCCTCACTCCTCTCGCCCCGTCGCATTGAGCCGCGACGCCGTCCACTGCGACGCCTCGCGGCCGATCGCGCCGCCCCAGTGCTGCGGGCGGTGGTACGCCGCGAGCGCGGCGCCAATCCGCGCAGGGTCGTGCGGGAGGCCGAGCCGCTCCTACAGGAAGGGTCCGAGAAGGGTCCGGGAAGGGTCCGAGAAGGGTCCGAGAAGGGTCCGAGAAGGGTCCGGGAAGGGTCCGAGAATGGTCCGAGAATGGTCCGAGAAGGGTCCGGGCAGGGTCGTGCGGCAGGCCGCGCCGCGCCTCGATCGCAGCGAGCAGAGGGCGCAGGCAGTGGGTGACGCCGACGAGATCGAACTGGCCCAGCCGCGCGCGTGCCTGCGGGACATGTCGTGGACGTGCCGCGGACATGTGGTGGACGTGTCGCGGACATGCGGTGGACGTGTCGTGGACGCGTCTCCTCCCCAGCCGCGGCGCGCGCCTCGGTGAGCCCCTCGCAGCCAGGCAGCGCCGGCCGCTCCGAGAGCAGCGCTCGGCTCTGCAGCGAGTGCGCCTCGCCCGACGCCAGCCAAGCGGGCAAGGGCACCGCGTGCTTGCGGTCGGCCGTGCGCGGCGGCCACATCCGGTACTTGGACAGCAGGTGCGACGCCGGCTCGCGGATCGACGTGACGGCCACCACCGTGCCGTTTGCCTCCGCGTACCGCCGCTTTAGCGCGGCGAGGGCAGGGCGCACGCTGCGCAGGAAGAAGCCCTTCGAGTAGGAGTGGAACTCGACTGCAACTTTCGAGGAGCGCCAGTCGAGAGGCGCGGCGCCGCCGCAGAGCTTGTCGCGCCAGCGCGGCTCCATGCCAGGGAAGAGGTCCGCGTGCAGGGCAAAGAAGCAGGACGTCTGCGAGTACGAATAGACTGCAGCCAGCCGCGATGGCGCATGCGTCTGCCGCTTGAGCCACTTCATCACCGCCGAGCCGCCCGTCTTTTCGATGTGATACAGCAGCACGACCGATGGCCCCGGCTGCGCCGGTGGCACAACAGCCCGAGGGCCGCGTCGTCTGCGCGTGGCACCGCCGCCGCCCGTCGCCCGGCGCGACACCCCGCCCGCGGTCGGGTAGGGTGCCGTCGCCGCTGCCGCCGGCTCGTACAACTCGGCTGACGAATGAACAGCTGGTGTGGTAGAGAGGATGGCCAGCATGGACTGGTCACTCGAGTCCTCCAACGAATGGCAGCGACCGTCGTGTGACATCGTTGTCGGTGTTCTGAGATGTCTCGATGTCTTCGTTGTAAAATTCTGAGTTGTCTAGGAGACTATAGTCGAGCGCGTCGGAGAGGTGTTTGGAGATGAGGCTCTCTTCACGGCGAGGCTTATGAATCAACACAGCGGTGGAGCAGCGGTGTAGGTACGTTGTTAGCGGTGGTATCGCGCTGTGTGGCTTTGCTGGAGCGCCACGTGTACGTGTACGTGTCGTGGTGATGGCCAAGGTGATGGCGCCCCTGGCGCCCTGGGCCTGGCGCCCTGGCCGGGCCTAGGGGAAACCCGGAGCGCGGAGCCAACCCTCGGAGACCCGTGTTTACTTTACGGCCCTTGCCCTGCGAACGCGCACCCCCCTAGGGGTCAGGGCTCTCTAGCCCGTAGCCCGATGCCAACCATCCGGCCCGCTGTGGGTGCGCTTCTTAGCTCCCTGGCCCTGGATGTGCGGTTGATGACTGCACTCCAAGTGCTCCAAGTACTAATTGCTCTCCAAAACTGGGAACCCTCGCATCTCCAGCCCAACTGCCCCACGGCATTCAAAGTGCAAGGCCCGGTGCACGTGGGTGAGCAGCAGCCTGGGCGGCCCCCGCTCCCGACACAAACGCACAAACCAAACTCCCACACACACACACACACAATCTCGACCTGGGTAGATAGAGGCGTAGAGGGTACCCGAGGCGGAGAAAAACCCCAACGAATGCAGAGTGGAGAGTGACTCACGGTACCAGCTACGGCTCTACCATCACCCAAGCCCTCGCTCTCGCGGCCGCAGTCTCTCGTGTCTCGACAGTCGTGGTAGAGCCGCCCGCGCAGGTCGTCTTTGTCGGGTTTTGTGTCCTTGATGTGACGTGTGACGAGAGGTGAAAGAGAAAAACTCTCGGACGGCGTGCTTCTCGAGGCGCTGACCGTGACACACCGCGACCACGGGGGGCGTCCCACAGTCACCCCACACAGATCTGAGCCTTCGACGAGCGCCCAAACAAGCACGGGTGCGCGCAGCACAGAGATGGCACCTGCCCACCGCCGCATCCACCAACCAGAAGAATCACAGCGCGGTGGCGTTCGTGGCGGAGGGGCCGGGCCGAGGCAGCGCGGGCATCGCCGCAAAGATGGCCGACGAGCACGCGATGGCAACCAGCGCCACCACCCCTCCCGCCGCGTCGAAGGCCAGCTTCGCCCCGCCGCTGGCACGCGCCTCTCCTCCCCGAGAGGTGTCCTCCTCGACGGCGGCGGCCGAAGGGGCGGCCGCGGCCGCCGCGGCATCCACAGCCGCAGCCTCGGGCGCCAGTGCGGCCTCTGCGTCGTCGGCCGCCCGCACGCACCCCGCGCCTTGCTCGGGTGCAGTGTCTGCAGGGCCGCCGGTCAGCAAGTGCGCCCTCAGCCGCGGCTTCTCGAGCGCGCGCTCGGGCGGCGGCGCGCGCCTGCCACGGACGTGCCATGGGCGTGTCGTGGGCGTGGACGTGTCGCGGGCGTGTCGCGGGCGTGTCCTGGGCGTGTGATGCACGTGCCGTGGGCGTGCCGTGGCCGCCACGTCGTGGACGTGTCGTGGACGTGTCAGAGGAGAGCGGGCTGGTGGCGGCGGCGGCGGCGCGCCGCTGTGCGTGGACGAGGAGCTCGGCGACGAGCACCGACGTGAGCCAGTACGTCCACGCCTGTGCTGGGGGGCGGGGGCCCCTTGTTGTCCGTGTAGACTTTAATGGGCTGATCGCTGCGCAGTCCCGCTGGCTCCCCCATCTGCTGCAGGTGTAGCAGCTCAATCGCAAGGTCCGCTAGTGCCATCAATTCCGCTTCGGTGCTGGACATGCTTATCGCCCGCTGCCGGAGTGAGTGGGAGGCGCGGGCGCACTGCACTGCCCGACCATACTCCCTTGAGCTCGTGCCGACGCGCTGACATTGGATGCGGCGAGTGCTCGAGCGGCGTGGGCCGTGGCGGCCTCCGACCCGAATCCGGGAGAACACGCGCGAGAGGGGAGAGTGAGTGTGGCCTTCACGCGCAGCCTTCACCCCCCTGGGTCGCAGCTGTGAGAGGTGGGATCGAGCGCGCGGGGTGTGGTGCTTCCGCATCTAGGCTCCGCGCGTGCGGCATGTCGAAGGGCCGGAAGTAGTCGGCGCAGGTGTCGCCGTCGCACATGCCGCCCGGGTACTCTCGCGCCTCGCGCGGCGGGCGGTACCTGTTCACAGCTCAACGCGCCGTGAAGAGCCACCTTCCGTGCAGGCACGTGCGGCAGCGATTGGCCGGCACCCAAACAGCGCGGTGGCGGCCACGTACCAGTATCTGTAGAGCATCGGCGCCAGGACCTGCGAGTAGGAGCGGATCGCCCACGCGCGGTGCGCTGCGTACCGCTGCTGCCACGCGCGGACCGCGGTCATGGCGGCGGCGACGCCAAACCAGCCTCCCGCGAGGAGGAAGGCGGCGCCCATGTTGTACCCGCCGGAGAGCTTGAAAAAAAAATTAAATATTCTTAGCTTCAAGCCCCCCTCCGAGACTAGGGACAGAACCACACCAGTATCAGACCAGCGGGACTGCGCCTCGCCCCCACTTGCCCTGACTACACAGGATAGCATGCCCCGATAACGGCGACACATAGTGGGGGACACTGCGCAAGGAGGGGGTGCGAAGGCTCATTGGGGTACTAGGTGGGACCATGAGGGGGGGTGGGCGGGGTCCTGTGGGGGTGAAATGTTGCGCGGCGAATTCGAACCTACCCCCTCGCCGCGCCGATCCTCACGCGGAGGGTAAAACCCTGTGGGACAAAACCCCCCCGCGGTCGGCAGTCTTCAGAGTGGACCCCCCCCTCCCCAGCCTCCCCTGTGCATCTCGCACCCCCCCCCGCTCCCCATCGGTGACTCGCGAAGGACACGGACACTCGGGGTGAGGGGGGGTCCCCCAGAGAGGGGGCTTTGGGGCATTGTTGGGTTGATCGCTCGTGCCGATCTCGGGTCGATCTCGGGTCGATCTCGGGTCGATCTCGGGTCGATCTCGGGTCGATCTCGGGTCGATCTCGGGTCGATCTCGGGTCTCGGGTCGGTCTTGGGCGGGTCGGTCTCGGAGTGGTCTAGAAAAGAAAAAAATGGGGCGAGATGAGGCGAGATGAGGCGAGGTGAGGCGAGGTGGGGGGCGAGATGAGGCGAGATGAGGCGAGATGAGGCGAGATGAGGCGAGATGAGGCGAGGTGAGGCGAGATGAGGCGAGGTGAGGCGAGATGAGGCGAGGTGAGGCGAGATGAGGCGAGGTGAGGCGAGATGAGGCGAGAGGTGTGAGGCGAGATGAGGGTTGAGGCGAGGTGAGGCGTTCGCAGACGGCGTCTGTTCACTCCTGCATGTGAGCACGAATGTCTTTCGAAGAAGAGGGACCTGCCGTACCCCGCACAATTTTGCTTGGTGCGCCTGTGTTAGTGCCAGTGCGCGCCAGCCCCGTGCCCAGTGTCGTGCGATGGAGCGCGGTGGAAAATTCTTTTTTGCTAAGACTCCTTCAGAAGACGCCGCAAGGACTCCTTCAAGCCTGACGGCGTGCCGAAGAAGGCGAGCTCCCCGCTCGCGCCAGAGCCCTAGCCAGCCAGGTACCCCTTGTGCCTGGCTGCCGAGCGGCGTGGCCTCAGATCAGACTGAGCGCGCAGCGCACGGCTGCCTCGGAGCCTCGCGTGCGTCGCATCGCCAGCGCTCGCGCGCACCACGCCTCGGGCTCGCGCACCACATCAGGGCCCGTCGGCCCGGGCTGCCGCGCAGCCCGATTCCGTGAGATTCGAAGAGTGCGTCCTCGCCTCTCGCCACTGGGCTGGGGCCGGGCGCGCAGCAGCACCCGTCTGCATTGTGACTGTGCAAAACCGCTCTCCGCACACGCTTAGTCGCACTCGCTCCTCCGCCGCAGGTCGCCGCCCTGGCCGTCGTCGGCATGGTGATGTGGCGCCGCAACTCAAAGGCCCGCCGCTTCAGCTGGTCCAGCCTGCTCGGCGTCCTTCTCTGCTTGGCCACCGTCTCCGGCGGCTTGGTCACCTTCGCTGGCGGCGCCGCGCTTGTTTCATCCTCAACCGCGCTGCCAGACGTCACTGCGCTTCCGGCGGCCCACAGGGTCAGCGTCGATGAGAGGTCGAGAGGTGCACACCTCTCGACCTCTGGTCCGCCGAGTCGCGGCAGACGCGGGCACCGCGGCGGAGGCTCCGCGACCCTGACCGTGTCAATCATCACCAACAACCGTGAGACGTCGTTGCGGCGGCTCTGCGACTCGCTCCTTGCCGCGGACTATTCGGCGCTCGGAGACTTTTTCGCACGCGTGGACATTGTCTTCAACCTCGAGGCGTCCTCTACCACCGGGACCATCGCGTTTGCTCGCGGTTTCGAGTGGCCGCACGGATTCAAGCACGTGCGCAAACGGGCCAGGCAGGGCGGACTGATCTTGGCTGTCTCTGAAAGCTGGTACCCGTCTTCGACCGAGGACTTCGGGTGCCTGCTGGAGGACGACATCGAGGTGTCCCCGCACTACTTCCGCTTCGTGTCGGAGATGATGCTGGCGCTCCAAAGGGAGCCAGACCCGCGCGTGGTAGGCATAAGCCTATACTCGCCTCGTCGCACCGAGACGACCAACCCGCCCGAGCCGTTCAACTCTACGGCCCTCATGATTGAGGTCATGGGAGCAGAGCACAAAGAGAGCCCATATTTGTTGCAGACGCCGTGCTCATGGGGGGCCGTTTACTTCCCTAACCACTGGGAGCAGTTCGTCGATTATTTGCGGCTGCGCTTTGATCTCAAGCCCGGCGTCAAGTCGCCCCACGACGTGTTGATTCCTTCAAGCCGCACCAACGGCTGGAAGGGCAGCTGGAAGAAGTTCCACTTCGAGCTGCTTTACCTCAGGGGGCAATACCTGGTCTATCCAAACTACGAGGGCCAGCGCAGCCTCAGCACCAATCACATGGAGAAGGGAGAGCACATCAAGTCTGGCGATGTCGACCATAAGCGGCAGGACTTCACCGTGCCGCTCCTGGTCGACGGCGCGCCGCTCCTACATCTGAGGTCGCTGAAGGTTAGCCAGCTACGCGTGCTGAACCTTTTTGGGAAGCCCTGGTTGCGCGAAGAAGAGCTGAAGCAGACGCTCGCCGGCATGGCTAGCGGTGCTTCCTCCGTTGTGCCTGGTGTTCGGCAGCGGCAGCCGTCGCTGTTGGCGGTCGGCGAAGAGCTCAGCAGTGTCAAGGACGAGATCATGATGTCTGCTGCGAGCGGCCGACTAAGGCACTACGGTGTGGTCCAGAACGATGGCCAGTTCGTCATCTACCGCGACGACGCTGCGTCCCCCAATTCGGCCGCACCGATTTGGAGCACACAGACGTTCGTGGGCGAGGTGAACGGGACGACGTATGGCTTGACGCTGTCACCAACCGGGTCGCTGGAGCTGTCTCGAAGGTTCCGCAATGACGTCAAGTCAGACAAGCTTGTGTGGTCCAGCCCTCACGATCGCACTCGCCGGCATCCTAGGGGCAGCTACGTCGCCCAGCTCAAGAGCGACGGCTGCCTCGCCGTGTACTGGAAGAGTCCGAAGAACGGAAAGTGCTTGTCCCTCGTTTGGGAAACGGCAACGAAGCGCAGCCGATACGTGTCGATGTTGAGCGTCGGAGCGACGCTGAGCAGCGCGTCGGGCGATGGTATGGCTTCGATCAATGACCGCGGGGACGGGAAGGTGTATCACGGCGCTGTGCAAAGCGATGGTCAGTTTGTTGTGATGAGCGACCACCCAAATCCGATTTGGAGCACGAACGGCTACAAGGGCGAAGTGCGAAATGGAGCACTTGGAGCACTTGCAGCACTTGCAGCGCTTGTGCGAAACGTGGTCTACCACTTCTCGCTGTCGAAGACGGGCTCACTGCGTTTGGAGCAGGTCGACAAGACAACGGGCTGGGTGCTGAGTCTGGTCTGGTCGAGCCCTCCAGATCGGGTCTCGAGGCCTGCGGGGACCGGCACTTACCATGCGCGGCTCGAGAGCGACGGGAACCTGGCGGTGTACTGGGCCGATCGGCGGCGGTCCCGTCGGCGCCGCCACCATCAAGGCACGTGCCTCTCGCTCGTGTGGCAGTCGATCCCGAACAAGGTGCATACGAAAGGGTGTATAAGGAAGAACTGCGACCTCAGTCTATCTCGCGAGCACTTCGCGTGCACCTCGTTTCCAGCCGCGGTGCCGGCGCTCTTGCAGGACGCATCAACCTTTACGCTCTTGATCAGCACGCACAGCCGGTTCGAGCTACTCTCCGAGCAGCTGTCGTACTACAGCGCGTCGCCGATGATCTCGACCATAGTCGTCACGTGGCACAACATGAACATTAAGGCACCGCCCGACGCCCGCGTCAATGGGACGTATATTCGGTTCGAAAGCCCAACCACGGACAGCCTCAACAACCGCTTTCAGCCCTTAGCGTACATTACGACCGAGGCCGTCTTCATCCTGGACGACATCAAGCTGCACCTGCAGGACATGCACAACATGTTCGCTGCCTGGAAGGAGAACAAGCAGAACCTCGTCGGGGCGTCGCCTCGCTGGGTCGATGGTGGTTCATCGGAGCCCGGGTCTGGCGGGCGTGCTTCCGCGCCGCACAACTTGGCCTACTTAACCCAAAGCGAGGCCTCACCGGACAAGTACGAAGGGTACAGCCTGATGCTGACGAGGACGATGATGATGCATCGTGACTATCTTCACCTCTACACGTGCGGCGGCAGCTCGACAGAGCTCGGCCTGCAAGTAGCGAGCCACTTCGACCAGCTTCGATCGCTCATCTTGTCGATCGTCGCGGCCGAATTCAATTGCGAGGACATCGGCATGAACTTCGTCGTGAACGCGGCGAGGTCCAGCGCCAACCCGCCAGGCGCCGACGCTGCGCCCCTTTTCGTACGGCCGCTGCACAGAATTGGCGACTTCGGAAAGATGGGCGACACGGGTCTGCACCAGAAGAAGTCGCATACAACGGCGCGGACGGACTGCTTGAACCAGATGAACCGAGCCTTTTGGCAGGCGACTGGCCAAAGCTTGCCTGTTCAGACGAGGGTCATTGATGCAATGCCGTCTAGCCTCAACTCGACGTCGACGGCGCTCATGCAGAGGCGGTATTCAGGGCTGAGCGTCCGCCTTCACGACGACTGCATGACGATCGAGCGCGGGGTCGACGGGGTCCACAAACAAGGGGGGTGCTCCTGGGATCTGCCGGCCCAGACGAAGTACAACGCGTATTACGTTCCTTCCGTGCACTGACGGGCGTATGATCTCGAGCGGGGCTGTTGGTGGTGCTCAACAGCACAGAGCTCTTTGGGACCGCGGCTGCATAGCATGCGGGTAGGCTCGGCTTCCTGAGTGAGCGCGGGGCGATGTGCAGGTAAGGTAAGGTAAGGTAAACTTCTCCACACACACACGAGGTGGTGGGGCAAGGGGGGGCGACCCTCGCGCACTCTTGTAGCATGCAGGTTGCAGTCTGCATGGATTAGCCTCTGCATAGACGGGCTGATTTTACATTACGTATTTCTCGAAAATGCAGAATGCAGATGCAGAATGCAGAACCCAGGCGCCCGTCGCCGAGGAGGCCGTCGCCGAGGAGGCTGCCAAGGAGGTCGAGAAGCCGGCCAAGACCGTTTCCAACACGCCCGACCTAGCGGTGAGCGCGCCGTAGCATTCTCTCCTGGCACTCCTCGCTCTCCCATCGGTAATAATCTCTCCCTTATAGGACCTTATACTCATCACTCACACTCATCGCTTAAAGTAATAATCTCCTCCCGTGGACCCCTTTATCGCACATTTGCAGGCGCTGGCCCGCCGCGGGACCGGATCAGGCGGCTACACGAAGGCCGCGGCCGTCCAGTGGCTGCTCCTCGTCTGCGCCCCCGCCTCCGGCCACTGCGCGGCCGCCGTGCCTAGCCCGTCGGCGGTAGCCTCTGCCTTCTCGTCTGCCGTTGCCTCGGCGACCTGCGTCGCCTCGGCGGCGTCCTCGGCCTTCCCTCCCGCCGTCGCCTCGATGGCGTCCTCGCTTGCGAGCAGCTCGTCGCTTCTTGTGCCCGCCCTCGCGCTTCTCCTCCTCACCATCGCTTGCGGCGCCGCCTGGCCGACCGCGGCGAGCGGGAAGAGGGCTCGCGGTATCGCGCGGGCCCCCGCCCTCCGCCTCATCACGGCCGCCGCGTTCATCCCCGGCGCAGCGGCTTCGCCCGCGGGCTTCTTCGCGCCGAGCGCTTCCTCGTGGCTCGGGTGGGGCGTTCTGCCCATCGCCGCGATCGCCGCCAGCGTGCTGCGCCGCCCCAGTTCGACGAAGGAGGCTTGCGCGTCTACGGCCGACTCAGTCTCGAATCCGCCGTCGCCACCGGAAATGACACCGGCCTCGCGGGAGAAGCGCAGCAAACGGCAGCGCGACATTGGCCTGCTGGTGCTCGGAGTGCTGGTGCTCGGAGTTTTGGATGGATCCGCCGGTCCGGCGGCGGGAGGTTCGATGCCATCATCGACGATGGCAGCCATACCAACGGCGCCATCATGAAGTCGTTCGAACTGCTCTGGCCCAGCGTCAAGCCCGGCGGCCGATACTTTGTCGAGGACATGTGCGTGGGCCGCCGTTCTCCGTGGGCCGACGGCAACCCCGTGCCGATCGACATCTTCACCTACTGGATGAACCAGGCAAGCCTCGCGAGCCCCCCAACCGTAGCCCCAACCGAACACCGCACGCCCCCCCACATACGCTGCCCCCTTGGTGTAAGTGTTGTTCCTCCGTCGTGCGCAGCTCACCATGATTGACCGCAGCAAGCAGCACCACTTTGGCAAGGGCTTTGGAGCGAGCAGCTTTCCAGAGATGCCTACCGACCTTGCATACGTCGCGTGCTTCGACTGCGCTTGCGTGCTCGGCAAGGACGCAGGCATGGGCTACCGTCACGTCTCCGCCGGGGGCGCAAACTGCGCGGCCCGGCCGTACGCGAGCGTTGTCGAATGATGAGGGAAACGATTGAAGCGTGGTCGATCAGCCAGCAGACCGGCAGCGGGACGCGGTGCTCCCTTCGCCCTATGATTGATTGCTGTGTCCGCGGTTCCGCATGCGTGGGGTAGTGCCGGTGTGGGTGGGCTCGTGCCTCGTCGTCAGGCCTGGATATTTCTGGACAGACAGGTGAAGTTGCTAGTTGGAGGTGGAGATGTAAGGATCACGTAAAATATTGATTCTCGCCCCTCTAACTATTGATATTGATTATTGACAGCATCCCCTCTAACTATTGACAATATATTGACATATTGATCGCTGATTTTAACCTCCAAAAGCACCAATGTCGACATTTGTCCCAAACGTTGCCTAGATTAGAGCCCCTGGTACGAGCTCCTCACGCTCACCTAGCCCACCTCCATGCTCGCCGAGTCCACCTGCGCTTCCGCCACTAGCGGCGAGCCCAAGGCGAATTCGGCGCGACCTCATCAATCAACTCGAATGAACGTTTAATCGGGGCGCTAATTTATATCGGGCGCACACGCCGAACAAGGTTCTTTTTCGAACCTTACTAAACAATTGAACGCTACCCCAACCTGCTACTAAAAGACTCCCTCCCTCTGCGTGGTGGCGCTCAACCTTGTACGTACTTTTCTCTCTCTCCACCTTGTACTCTCTCTCCAGGTATAATGTAAGGGGTGGTGCGGCCGTGCCGGCCGCCCTCGCAAAGTCAAGAGTGTGCTGTGCGCGACTCTCAAATCGCCAAGTCAAACAAGAAGAACAGAATCCTGAGTACTCGTCGACAACAAACCCTGCAGACGGTGGGTAAGGCGATTATTATTTATAAATTAAGTAATTAATAATTAATAATCACCGGGCGGTGGCGCGGCGCGGCGGGCGGGCGGGGCGGAGCGGGGCGGCGCGACCATCTGCAGTTACCGGGTCTCTGATCATTGGAGAGCGGCAATGGTCGCCCCGCCCTCGACTCACGGGGCTGCCTTCCACAGTCGCTGCTCAGGCCGGGGGAGGGGGGGCGACCTCCTGTTCCTCGCGGAACGGGAGCAGGCCCCTCCTTGCCCGGTCTGCGAAGCAGGGCGGTGGTCGTGCCAACTTCGCTTCACAACGACCACGCCGCAATCGTCGCCGGCGCGCGACACGTTTCCGTTGGCGGGACTGTCCTGGTCGAGAGTGTGTGCCGCCGAGGCGGGACCACTCGGGGACAGTGCTGACGGGACGCGGCTTGGGATACGGCTCCCGCGAAAGCACGACTGGCATCCGTGGCGTGGGGCTCGCCTCCGAAAAGTCGGGCATGGCTCTCCCCGCAACTCTCTTGCTAACATGCGCGCACCACCGAGACTGTGGTGGGCGCGCTGCGGCCGCACGTCTACCTCCGTCATAGTGCCACGACGTGCGGCCTAGATTTAGCACACGCGCCTCAGCTCGCAAACACTCACCCATTTAATTGTCACTGTCCGTGAGTGCGAGAGAAGTCTAGCAGCAGGCAGCTAGACCATGAGGAGGGCGTCCATAGACACCTCACTAGACCCCACATACGGTCTTGTCCGTGCCTCGCAGGCCGGTGAGATTGCTAGAGGTGGAGCAAGCTGCTCTAGCCTCACATGTCACTTCCTGTCGTCTGTTGTTTGAGTTGTGCCCTTGTTTGTGCCCTTGGCACCGTGGAGTGCTGGGGGGGGCGACAGGGAGGATGTGGCCCTGAGTTATGTGTACGCCGACTCAGAGTGTGTGGCAGCCAGATGGCTGTGTGTCTTGTGAGCCTGTTTGTGTCTGTGTGTCGCTCGTGCGTGTCGTCATCATCTGTCCAGCGTCCACCCATACCGCGTTGGTGTCCAGTCCGAGCCTGGCTGTTCTTCACCTTTCTACCTACCTACCTACCTGCAGTGGTCGGCATCAGCGCGCCGGGCGCCGCAGGTCGTGCTGCGCTTCGAAAAGCCGCCGGCCTTCCTCTCGCATCGTCTCGTCCAGCTGCGCCTTGACCGATGGCAGCGCAAGGCTTCTCGCGCTGTACAGCCCGGAACCGCCCAGCATCGGCACGCAAAGACCCGGGGGAGGAGACGGAGGGCTCGGCTGCAGTAGTCTCGTCTTCTGACCGCCTGCTGTTGGAGCCCTCGTCACTACGCACAGCCGCACTCTGCACTGGTGCGGGAAGCCTACCTCTCTTGACACTGGAATTGGCACCCATGACCACCTTGGTGCTGCTCTAGCCACCACACTATCAAACTATTAGCCTAATAACGTACCTAATTATTAGCATATACCTAATAACGCGGCTATGAAGCTAATTATTAGCCAAGGCCCCGCGTATTAGCTGCTAATAACAGCCTGATCATCCGGGCCTGGGCTATCAAAAGTCGGTTATTAGCTTGCTAATATGGACTATCAGCTGCTAATATCCGTTATCAGCACGTTATTAGCTTCTTTTTAATGGATAATGCGGGGGCACTACGGCGCACTGCGGCAGCGGCCCGCGTGGCGCGAATCACCCTATGCCCTCTCCGCGCACCGTGGCCGGCGGCTCACGTCTGGCAGCGGCAGCAGGCCCACCGCGGCACCGGCTCACACTGAACAGCACGCACAGGACACAGTCACAGAGCACTGCCACTCACGCCACTCGCGCTCGGGCTCTCGTCAGCGTCCTTCTCAGTGTCCGCGGGCCGCTCATCGCCTCCGCCTTGTGGCAGGTGTTTGGGGCGGCGGCGAGGCGAGCAAGCCACCCGCAGACACCTAGAAGGACGCCGTCGCGAGGTCGAGGGCGGGCGGCGGGGGCGGCGAGGGCGAGGCGCGAGGCGCGAGGTACGGGCGGCGTTGGCGGCGGCGGTGGCGCGGGCGGCGGCGGTCACGGAGCGGGGGCGAGAGGGTGGCGGCGAGCAAGACACCCGCGCGCGCTGTGCGGTCGCCGTTCTGCCTCACATGCCTGCGGACAGCGCCGACGGGTGGTGAGGAGGGCGGAGAGCCGGCGGGCGCGGTGTGCGCGCGGTCGCCGCGCGCTGGTGGTGTGAGCGCGGTCGCCGCGCGCTGGTGGGCGTCAGCTCACCGAGCGAGGAGCGAGCAGGAGCGAGGAGGGGGGCCGGCACACTCAAAATCGCCAAGTCAAACAAGAAAAACCACGCACATGGAACACAGACGAGCCTGGCTGTTCTTCACCTTTCTACCTACCTACCTACCTACGAAGTAACAAACCCTGCAGCCGAAGTGCGCACGCTCCAACCGGGCGACGTACCTTCGCGACGTAGCCCCACCCCGGTTGGAGCCCCACCCATGCGCACGTTTCTTTACTTCGCTAACTTTTCCGCGCCCATCTGGGGTGGGGCTACACGTCTGGGGTGGGGCTTAATGGCAGCCAGCGAGGCTCACAGAAGGCTGCCTGGCACAAGTGCGAGACGAAGAAGCGTGTACCACGCAAAGACATGCGCAAAGCGCGACAATCGCGACCGCACCAGCGAACCCTGCTCGCTCGCACAAAGGCTGCGGCCAGCAGTTGCCGTGCACAAGTTGGGCCTTTGCGCGTCGAGCCCGTCGCTGCGTGAGATGGAGACCTACCTGAAGAACGTCAGAGACGCGAACAGCGTCCTCCGCATCAAAGCGCTCAAAGGCCGCTACCAGAAGCGCAGCGTGCTGCTCGCCGGGGCTACTTTCACGAGGCGCTACCGTGGCAAGAGCAACACGCTCTGGTGGAGTGGGCTCGCCTGGCGCAGCGCCCGTCGCGCGCCGTCGACCGCGCGGATAACGCCCAGTACGCCGCGTATGTTAAGGCGAAGGCCAAGACGGCGTCGCAGGAGGAGCTGAAGGCGCTGGTCACGGAGTGGGCATACGGCATGTCCTTCTTTGAGCGCTGGCAGGAGCGGGGGGTGCGATCCGTCACGCAGCTGAATGCGGGCCTGCGGAGGATCTGCGCGTGCCGCGCCCCGGCCTGCCGATCGGGCTGCACGGCTAATCAGGCCAAGCTTGACTGGCTTCGAGAGCAGATCGAGATGCGCACGCGCGGGTTGCAGTGGGTCGAGTTTGCGGCGCGCTGGTCTTCCAGCACGGACGAGTCCGTCGGCACCGTCGAGGAGCTCACGGGCCACCTCAAGGAGCTGATCGAGCACGAGCGCGACCTGCGCGAGAGGGACGAGCTCCCCGACGTGGCGCCGCCGCCCGTCGTCAGGCGTAAGACCTTCAAGCAGCTCGGCACACCCACTGCGCAGGCCGAGGTGCTGATGGCGGCGCGCGAGGAGCTCACGCCCGATGAGCTGCGCGAGGCGGCCGAGGACGAGCGCGACCGGCTGGAGGAGGCGGGCGAGATCGACCACGTCGCCGACGCGCAGCCCGAGCGCCCTCCAGATTTTGCCAGCTTGCTCAACGTCCACCTCGAGGTGCGCTGGCCGTATCGCGTGCCGGACAAGGGGAAGAAGCGCGGCTACAAGACCCACTACATCTGGGCCGAGGGCGAGGTGGTCGAGATTGCCGACGGCACGACTACGAAGAGGACGCCGCAGTGCAAGACCGTCCTTGCGTGGGGCGCGGTGCGCATCAAGTGGCCGAAGGACAGCCGCTACGACGAGGATGAGTCGTTCACCTGGACCGTGCTGGTGGCGGACTCGTGGCGCAAGGAGAAGCACCTCGGCTGGCGCTTCGCCAAGCCGGAGCTGGCGCGGCGCGGCGCGGCGGCACGCGCGGCAAAGCGCGCACGGGCTGACACCTCGTAGTGGGCGGTGCGCCACGGTGGGGTCACGGCAGGGGGTGCTCACACTGCGCGGCCGCTGCCAGAGCGCGAAATTTCGCGACTTCGTGCTCGTGTATCTTTAGTCAGAGACATGTCTGGAGGATAAAGAGTATAGCAGTGTGATCCCCGGCATTAGTACAGTCATTGCAGTGCGCTTTGTGGTTGTTCCGGGCATATTTTCATCTGACCCCTCTGGCCTACCATGGGCTCTACTGCATTCTGCATCTGCATTCTGCATTTTAAATCCCATTTTCGAGAAATACGTAATGTAAAATCAGCCCGTCTATGCAGAGGCTAATCCATGCAGACTGCAACCTGCATGCTACAAGAGTGCGCGAGGGTCGCCCCCCCTGCCCCACCACCTCGTGTGTGTGTGGAGAAGTTTACCTTACCTTACCTTACCTGCACATCGCCCCGCGCTCACTCAGGAAGCCGAGCCTACCCGCATGCTATGCAGCCGCGGTCCCAAAGAGCTCTGTGCTGTTGAGCACCACCAACAGCCCCGCTCGAGATCATACGCCCGTCAGTGCACGGAAGGAACGTAATACGCGTTGTACTTCGTCTGGGCCGGCAGATCCCAGGAGCACCCCCCTTGTTTGTGGACCCCGTCGACCCCGCGCTCGATCGTCATGCAGTCGTCGTGAAGGCGGACGCTCAGCCCTGAATACCGCCTCTGCATGAGCGCCGTCGACGTCGAGTTGAGGCTAGACGGCATTGCATCAATGACCCTCGTCTGAACAGGCAAGCTTTGGCCAGTCGCCTGCCAAAAGGCTCGGTTCATCTGGTTCAAGCAGTCCGTCCGCGCCGTTGTATGCGACTTCTTCTGGTGCAGACCCGTGTCGCCCATCTTTCCGAAGTCGCCAATTCTGTGCAGCGGCCGTACGAAAAGGGGCGCAGCGTCGGCGCCTGGCGGGTTGGCGCTGGACCTCGCCGCGTTCACGACGAAGTTCATGCCGATGTCCTCGCAATTGAATTCGGCCGCGACGATCGACAAGATGAGCGATCGAAGCTGGTCGAAGTGGCTCGCTACTTGCAGGCCGAGCTCTGTCGAGCTGCCGCCGCACGTGTAGAGGTGAAGATAGTCACGATGCATCATCATCGTCCTCGTCAGCATCAGGCTGTACCCTTCGTACTTGTCCGGTGAGGCCTCGCTTTGGGTTAAGTAGGCCAAGTTGTGCGGCGCGGAAGCACGCCCGCCAGACCCGGGCTCCGATGAACCACCATCGACCCAGCGAGGCGACGCCCCGACGAGGTTCTGCTTGTTCTCCTTCCAGGCAGCGAACATGTTGTGCATGTCCTGCAGGTGCAGCTTGATGTCGTCGTCCAGGATGAAGACGGCCTCGGTCGTAATGTACGCTAAGGGCTGAAAGCGGTTGTTGAGGCTGTCCGTGGTTGGGCTTTCGAACCGAATATACGTCCCATTGACGCGGGCGTCGGGCGGTGCCTTAATGTTCATGTTGTGCCACGTGACGACTATGGTCGAGATCATCGGCGACGCGCTGTAGTACGACAGCTGCTCGGAGAGTAGCTCGAACCGGCTGTGCGTGCTGATCAAGAGCGTAAAGGTTGATGCGTCCTGCAAGAGCGCCGGCACCGCGGCTGGAAACGAGGTGCACGCGAAGTGCTCGCGAGATAGACTGAGGTCGCAGTTCTTCCTTATACACCCTTTCGTATGCACCTTGTTCGGGATCGACTGCCACACGAGCGAGAGGCACGTGCCTTGATGGTGGCGGCGCCGACGGGACCGCCGCCGATCGGCCCAGTACACCGCCAGGTTCCCGTCGCTCTCGAGCCGCGCATGGTAAGTGCCGGTCCCCGCAGGCCTCGAGACCCGATCTGGAGGGCTCGACCAGACCAGACTCAGCACCCAGCCCGTTGTCTTGTCGACCTGCTCCAAACGCAGTGAGCCCGTCTTCGACAGCGAGAAGTGGTAGACCACGTTTCGCACAAGCGCTGCAAGTGCTGCAAGTGCTCCAAGTGCTCCATTTCGCACTTCGCCCTTGTAGCCGTTCGTGCTCCAAATCGGATTTGGGTGGTCGCTCATCACAACAAACTGACCATCGCTTTGCACAGCGCCGTGATACACCTTCCCGTCCCCGCGGTCATTGATCGAAGCCATACCATCGCCCGACGCGCTGCTCAGCGTCGCTCCGACGCTCAACATCGACACGTATCGGCTGCGCTTCGTTGCCGTTTCCCAAACGAGGGACAAGCACTTTCCGTTCTTCGGACTCTTCCAGTACACGGCGAGGCAGCCGTCGCTCTTGAGCTGGGCGACGTAGCTGCCCCTAGGATGCCGGCGAGTGCGATCGTGAGGGCTGGACCACACAAGCTTGTCTGACTTGACGTCATTGCGGAACCTTCGAGACAGCTCCAGCGACCCGGTTGGTGACAGCGTCAAGCCATACGTCGTCCCGTTCACCTCGCCCACGAACGTCTGTGTGCTCCAAATCGGTGCGGCCGAATTGGGGGACGCAGCGTCGTCGCGGTAGATGACGAACTGGCCATCGTTCTGGACCACACCGTAGTGCCTTAGTCGGCCGCTCGCAGCAGACATCATGATCTCGTCCTTGACACTGCTGAGCTCTTCGCCGACCGCCAACAGCGACGGCTGCCGCTGCCGAACACCAGGCACAACGGAGGAAGCACCGCTAGCCATGCCGGCGAGCATCTGCTTCAGCTCTTCTTCGCGCAACCAGGGCTTCCCAAAAAGGTTCAGCACGCGTAGCTGGCTAACCTTCAGCGACCTCAGATGTAGGAGCGGCGCGCCGTCGACCAGGAGCGGCACGGTGAAGTCCTGCCGCTTATGGTCGACATCGCCAGACTTGATGTGCTCTCCCTTCTCCATGTGATTGGTGCTGAGGCTGCGCTGGCCCTCGTAGTTTGGATAGACCAGGTATTGCCCCCTGAGGTAAAGCAGCTCGAAGTGGAACTTCTTCCAGCTGCCCTTCCAGCCGTTGGTGCGGCTTGAAGGAATCAACACGTCGTGGGGCGACTTGACGCCGGGCTTGAGATCAAAGCGCAGCCGCAAATAATCGACGAACTGCTCCCAGTGGTTAGGGAAGTAAACGGCCCCCCATGAGCACGGCGTCTGCAACAAATATGGGCTCTCTTTGTGCTCTGCTCCCATGACCTCAATCATGAGGGCCGTCGAGTTGAACGGCTCGGGCGGGTTGGTCGTCTCGGTGCGACGAGGCGAGTACAGGCTTATGCCTACCACGCGCGGGTCTGGCTCCCTTTGGAGCGCCAGCATCATCTCCGACACGAAGCGGAAGTAGTGCGGGGACACCTCGATGTCGTCCTCCAGCAGGCACCCGAAGTCCTCGGTCGAAGACGGGTACCAGCTTTCAGAGACAGCCAAGATCAGTCCGCCCTGCCTGGCCCGTTTGCGCACGTGCTTGAATCCGTGCGGCCACTCGAAACCGCGAGCAAACGCGATGGTCCCGGTGGTAGAGGACGCCTCGAGGTTGAAGACAATGTCCACGCGTGCGAAAAAGTCTCCGAGCGCCGAATAGTCCGCGGCAAGGAGCGAGTCGCAGAGCCGCCGCAACGACGTCTCACGGTTGTTGGTGATGATTGACACGGTCAGGGTCGCGGAGCCTCCGCCGCGGTGCCCGCGTCTGCCGCGACTCGGCGGACCAGAGGTCGAGAGGTGTGCACCTCTCGACCTCTCATCGACGCTGACCCTGTGGGCCGCCGGAAGCGCAGTGACGTCTGGCAGCGCGGTTGAGGATGAAACAAGCGCGGCGCCGCCAGCGAAGGTGACCAAGCCGCCGGAGACGGTGGCCAAGCAGAGAAGGACGCCGAGCAGGCTGGACCAGCTGAAGCGGCGGGCCTTTGAGTTGCGGCGCCACATCACCATGCCGACGACGGCCAGGGCGGCGACCTGCGGCGGAGGAGCGAGTGCGACTAAGCGTGTGCGGAGAGCGGTTTTGCAGAGTCACAATGCAGACGGGTGCTGCTGCGCGCCCGGCCCCAGCCCAGTGGCGAGAGGCGAGGACGCACTCTTCGAATCTCCCGGAATTGGGCTGCGCGGCAGCCCGGGCCGACGGGCCCTGATGTGGTGCGCGAGCCCGAGGCGTGGTGCGCGCGAGCGCTGGCGATGCGACGCACGCGAGGCTCCGAGGCAGCCGTGCGCTGCGCGCTCAGTCTGATCTGAGGCCACGCCGCTCGGCAGCCAGGCACAAGGGGTACCTGGCTGGCTAGGGGTCTGGCGCGAGCGGGGAGCTCGCCTTCTTCGGCACGCCGTCAGGCTTGAAGGAGTCCTTGCGGCGTCTTCGTCGCTCAGGAGTGAATCCAAGCATCCTGAATCCAAGCATCCGCTCGTACTTCGGCGGCTTGTCCATGTAGTCCCTCATTTTTTTGGTAACTCGGTTGCTTTTTCGGAATTCCCCCACTCTTGCCAGCGCGTCTTCCCTTAGCACAAAAAGAGCTTCCGCTCTCCTCCTCATCTTTTCCGTGACACTTCGCTTCATCCTTATCGTCTTGTCCTCGCCGCTCATAGCAAATGCCCTCTCTGATGCCCTCTCCCATATCGTCCTGCATGTTTCCGCTCCCGTGTCCCCCTCCCCCTGTAGTATTGCCTTAATCTGATCCGCACTGAGTCCTCCATTTGCGTAAAATGCGAAAACCAGGCAGTCCAGCTGTCTCCTTGACAGTACCCCCTCCACCTCTGTTGGTATTTGTCCCCGAGTCACTCTGATAGCTGACTGCACCACATCCATCGTCTGAGTCACTAGAATTCTGTCGTCCTCCCCGTCGGGCCGAAGCCCGTCAGGCACTCTCTCCCCGAACCCCAGTGCAATAGTCAAGTCCGCCGAATTTAAGATTTTAGAGGCCGGCCGCAGGCCGGCGATTTTCAGATTTTAGACCAAGATTTTAGAGCTCTGGGGCGCATTTTCGCAAGATTTTAGCTGTCCGTTCACACATTTTCAAGATTTTAAGGCTAACGGACTCCCCGCCTTCAAATCTTAAATTCGGCTGACCTGGAGGTTCTTGATCCGTCCGCATCAGTCCGTCCGTGGTTACGTCGTTGTTCTAGAGAACGTACCGTCCGTACCGTCCCCTTTGGTGCCGCCCGCGCCCCTCGCGGGGCACGGCCGCACGTGGCAGCGTCAACTCAACCCGCTCACCATGTGCTTTTGCACTTCCGCGTCACGAATCGCATCCACCCTTGGTCCACCCACGAAGCATCGCCACCCAAAGGGCCCCATCTGAAACAAGGTTTCAGCGCTCCGCAGCGATCCCACCTTCTTGTCCTCCACTTTTGCCTTCTCCCTCTTAGCTGACGTCTCCGTTCGCGCCTCCTCCCCTCTCGGCACCATCTCCCTCACGGCCCCTTCCACCAACGGAACCCCTTGCCCCCGACGGTACAAGTCGTCTTCGTTTGCACGTACACGATGACTTCCTGTCTCCCTGCGCCTCTTCTCCTCCCTCCGTCGCGCGACCTCCTCTAGCTTCTCCTCGTACACCAGCAGTTCCTCGTTGATATTTCCCCATAGATTTCTGAGCGCCTCCACCACAATCGTCTCCATCATCCTTCGGTTGCTCTCACCTTCCTCCTCGCGCTGCTCACTCATCCACGGCGCAGAATCAAAGTGCCCAGCGTCCTCCCCTTTCCTCTCCCCTCCTTCCTCTCCCTCCTCGTCCCACCGCGCCATCCCTTCCACCTCCGTCCCCACTCCCTTCTTCGATGCATCGTCCCCACCCTCCTCCCCGGATAACCCCTCTTCTACACACACCACCTCGAGAACCTCTAGAGAGTGGTAAACTTCTTTTGGATGAACTGTATCGTCGTCGTCGTCTCTAGCCAGTCACTCTAACTCTCAGAGATGGGCTAAAGAGGATCCGGAGCGCGGTAAGACTCTGGGGCTCTCTCCGAAGGGAGCGTAGCGTACGCGGAGGGAGCTCAGAGTTTCCCCGTTCTCTGGAACCTCTTGGAGCAAGAGGACTCGCAAGAGACGAATGCGATTCGATCGGGCGGTAGATGAGGGATGGTGGTGGGTCGCTTTGAGAACTGATAGGTTGGCGCCTGTCTGAGCAGGAGCCGACGCTAGTCGGGAGCTGTGTCGGAGCCTCGTGGCGCTCGGATGTCCCGTCTCCCGCGCACAAAGCGGCGGGCAGCGGCGGGCGCGGGGGTAAGGGTTCCCGCCCGCTAGGCGCTGCCCTCTGCGCCGAGGCTCGACCCGCTTCTCCTCAGTTCACTAGCACAAACTAAAGTTTGTTTATCATGAACTGTATCGTCGTCGTCGTCTCTAGCCAGTCACTCTAACTCTCAGAGATGGGCTAAAGAGGATCCGGAGCGCGGTAAGACTCTGGGGCTCTCTCCGAAGGGAGCGTAGCGTACGCGGAGGGAGCTCAGAGTTTCCCCAATCCGGAGCGAGGGAAGGAGCGATCCCGGGGTGAGCGACTCCGAAGCGTAGCGCAGCGCGTGGAGGATCCCCAAATTGAGTGAGTGACGGTCCCATTCGGACTCGTCCTCGGCCGTCGGCGGCGTCGCGGCGATATGGCGTTTCGCCTTCACTCGGGTTGTCCGTCGAGGCCGAGCGGCGGCCGTTATCGCCACTGGCGGCCCGTAGATCGGGAAGGCGGGAGGGGCTCTCCACTGCCGGTCTCACAAGGTGAAGGTTCGTGCTTCTTTCATGTCGTGAGGTAGAGGAGCGGCGGGTCTCGCACTGCCGCTCCTCTACCGATACGAGCGCACTCCACAGGCGTCGCAGGCGAGCGAGGAGCTACAGCAGGAAGCCGTGCTGAGAGCGCCGAGCGGGGCTACGTGCCCGCGAGGCTCGGCGCTGCCTGCGAGGCAGCGCTAGGGGGGAGCGTGGCGGCCGGCGAGGGCGCCCGCTCGACGCCACACACGACGACGCGCGAGCAGCGTGTCGGCGGGCGAATCGTGAGACGGTGCGAAAGACGGAACGATGGCGATGGCGGCGGCCACGATGGCGCCGGCCCGAGCCATGCCGAGGCGAGCAGCTTGGCTGCCGCCGCCGCAGCCGCGAGGCTGCGTTCGCGTGCCCGAGGCCCGGCGGAGGGGCGTCGAGCCGCCGTGCCGAGGGCGCGAAGGCAGCGCCTGCGCGTTGGCTGGCGCTGCCTAACGGACGGTACGAGTCGAGGCGACGGCGGAGGCCGTGCCGAGAGCGCCGAGCAAGGCTACGTGCCCGCGAGGCTCGGCGCTGCCTGCGAGGCAGCGCTAGGGGGGAGCGTGGCGGCCGGCTAGGGCGCCCGCTCGACGCCACACACGACGACGCGCGAGCAGCGTGTCGGCGAGCGAATCGTGAGACGGTAGGTGGAAAACGGGACGATGGCGATGGCGGCGGCCACGATGGCGCCGGCCCGAGCCATGTCGAGGCGAGCAGCTTGGCTGCCGCCGCCGCGGCCGCGAGGCTGCGTTCGCGTGCCCGAGGCCCGGCGGAGGGGCGTCGAGCCGCCGTGCCGAGGGCGCGAGGGCAGCGCCTGCGCGTTGGCTGGCGCTGCCTAACAGACGGTACGAGTCGAGGCGACGGCGGAAGCCGTGCTGAGAGCGCCGAGCGGGGCTACATGCCCGCGAGGCTCGGCGCTGCCTGCGAGGCAGCGCTAGGGGGGAGCGTGGCGGCCGGCGAGGGCGCCCGCTCGACGCAACACACGACGACGCGCGAGCAGCGTGTCGGTGGGCGAATCGTGAGACGGTGCGAAAGACGGAACGATGGCGATGGCGGCGGCCACGCTGGTGCTGGCCCGAACCATGTCGAGGCGAGCAGCTTGGCTGCCGCCGCCGCAGCCGCGAGGCTGCGTTCACGTGCCCGAGGCCCAGCAGGGGCGGCGTCGAGCCGCCGTGCCGAGGGCGCGAGGGCAGCGCCTGCGCGTTGGCTGGCTCTGCCTAACAGACGGTACGAGTCGAGGCGACGGCGGAAGCCGTGCCGAGAGCGCCGAGCGGGGCTACGTGCCCGCGAGGCGCGGCGCTGCCTGCGAGGCAGCGCTAGGGGGGAGCGTGGCGGCTGGCGAGGGCGCCCGCTCGACGCCACACACGACGACGCGCGAGCAGCGTGTCGGTGGGCGAATCGTGAGACGGTAGGAGAAAGACGGGACGATGGCGATGGCGGCGGCCACGTTGGCGCCGGCCCGAGCCATGTCGAGGCGAGCAGCTTGGCTGCCGCCGCCGCAGCCGCGAGGCTGCGTTCGCGTGCCCGAGGCCCAGCAGGGGCGGCGTCGAGCCGCCGTGCCGAGGGCGCGAGGGCAGCGCCTGCGCGTTGGCTGGCTCTGCCTAACAGACGGTACGAGTCGAGGCGACGGCGGAGGCCGTGCTGAGGGCGCCGAGCGGGGCTACGCGCCCGCGAGGCTCGGCGCTGCTTGCGAGGCAGCGCTAGGGGGGAGCGTGGCGGCCGGCGAGGGCGCCCGCTCGACGCCACACACGACGACGCGTGAGCAGCGTGTCGGCGGGCGAATCGTGAGACGGTAGGTGGAAAACGGGATGATGGCGGATGGCGGCGGCCACGCTGGTGCCGGCCCGAGCCATGTCGAGGCGAGCAGCTTGGCTGCCGCCGCCGCAGCCGCGAGGCTGCGTTCGCGTGCCCGAAGCCCAGCAGGGGCGGCGTCGAGCCGCCGTGCCGAGGGCGCGAAGGCAGCGCCTGCGCGTTGGCTGGCTCTGCCTAACAGACGGTACGAGTCGAGGCGACGGCGGAAGCCGTGCTGAGAGCGCCGAACGGGGCTACGCGCCCGCGAGGCTCGGCGCTGCCTGCGAGGCAGCGCTAGGGGGGAGCGTGGCGGCCGGCGAGGGCGCCCGCTCGACGCAACACACGACGACGCGTGAGCAGCGTGTCGGTGGGCGAGTCGTGAGACGGTGCGAAATACGGAACGGTGGCGATGGCGGCGGCCACGCTGGTGCTGGCCCGAGCCATGTCGAAGCGAGCAGCCTGGCTGCCGCCGCCGCAGCCGCGAGGCTGGGTTCGCGTGCCCGAGGCCCGGCGGAGGGGCGTCGAGCCGCCGTGCCGAGGGCGCGAGGGCAGCGCCTGCGCGTTGGCTGGCTCTGCCTAACAGACGGTATGAGTCGAGGCGACGGCGGAGGCCGTGCTGAGGGCGCCGAGCGAGGCTACGTGCCCGCGAGGCGCGGCGCTGCCTGCGAGGCAGCGCTAGGGGGAGCGTGGCGGCTGGCGAGGGCGCCCGCTCGACGCCACACACGACGACGCGCGAGCAGCGTGTCGGTGGGCGAATCGTGAGACGGTAGGTGGAAAACGGGACGATGGCGATGGCGGCGGCCACGATGGCGCCGGCCCGAGCCATGTCGAGGCGAGCAGCCTGGCTGCCGCCGCCGCAGCCGCGAGGCTGCGTTCACGTGCCCGAGGCCCGGCGGAGGGGCGTCGAGCCGCCGTGCCGAGGGCGCGAAGGCAGCGCCTGCGCGTTGGCTGGCTCTGCCTGGCTGACAGTACGAGTCGAGGCGACGGCGGAAGCCGTCCCGAGAGCGCCGAGCGGGGCTACGTGCCCGCGAGGCTCGGCGCTGCCTGCGAGGCAGCGCTAGGGGGAGCGTGGCGGCCGGCGAGGGCGCCCGCTCGACGCAACACACGACGACGCGCGAGCGGCGTGTCGGTGGGCGAATCGTGAGACGGTGCGAAATACGGAACGGTGGCGATGGCGGCGGCCACGCTGGTGCTGGCCCGAGCCATGTCGAGGCGAGCAGCTTGGCTGCCGCCGCCGCAGCCGCGAGGCTGCGTTCGCGTGCCCGAGGCCCGGCAGGGGCGGCGTCGAGCCGCCGTGCCGAGGGCGCGAGGGCAGCGCCTGCGCGTTGGCTGGCTCTGCCTAACAGACGGTACGAGTCGAGGCGACGGCGGAGGCCGTGCTGTAGGCGCCGAGCGGGGCTACGCGCCCGCGAGGCGCGGCGCTGCTTGCGAGGCAGCGCTAGGGGGGAGCATGGCGGCCGGCGAGGGCGCCCGCTCGACGCCACACACGACGACGCGCGAGCAGCGTGTCGGTGGGCGAATCGTGAGACGGTAGGAGAAAGACGGGACGATGGCGATGGCGGCGGCCACGTTGGCGCCGGCCCGAGCCATGTCGAGGCGAGCAGCTTGGCTGCCGCCGCCGCAGCCGCGAGGCTGCGTTCGCGTGCCCGAGGCCCAGCAGGGGCGGCGTCGAGCCGCCGTGCCGAGGGCGCGAGGGCAGCGCCTGCGCGTTGGCTGGCTCTGCCTAACAGACGGTACGAGTCGAGGCGACGGCGGAGGCCGTGCTGAGGGCGCCGAGCGGGGCTACGCGCCCGCGAGGCTCGGCGCTGCTTGCGAGGCAGCGCTAGGGGGGAGCGTGGCGGCCGGCGAGGGCGCCCGCTCGACGCCACACACGACGACGCGCGAGCAGCGTGTCGGTGGGCGAGTCGTGAGACGGTAGGAGAAAGACGGGACGATGGCGATGGCGGCGGCCACGATGGCGCCGGCCCGAGCCATGTCGAGGCGAGCAGCTTGGCTGCCGCCGCCGCAGCCGCGAGGCTGCGTTCGCGTGCCCGAGGCCCGGCGGAGGGGCGTCGAGCCGCCGTGCCGAGGGCGCGAGGGCAGCGCCTGCGCGTTGGCTGGCTCTGCCTAACAGACGGTACGAGTCGAGGCGACGGCGGAAGCCGTGCCGAGAGCGCCGAGCGGGGCTACGTGCCCGCGAGGCTCGGCGCTGCCTGCGAGGCAGCGCTAGGGGGAGCGTGGCGGCCGTCGAGGGCGCCCGCTCGACGCCACACACGACGACGCGCGAGCAGCGTGTCGGCGGGCGAATCGTGAGACGGTAGGTGGAAAACGGGATGATGGCGGATGGCGGCGGCCACGCTGGTGCCGGCCCGAGCCATGTCGAGGCGAGCAGCTTGGCTGCCGCCGCCGCAGCCGCGAGGCTGCGTTCGCGTGCCCGAGGCCCAGCAGGGGCGGCGTCGAGCCGCCGTGCCGAGGGCGCGAAGGCAGCGCCTGCGCGTTGGCTGGCTCTGCCTAACAGACGGTACGAGTCGAGGCGACGGCGGAAGCCGTGCCGAGAGCGCCGAGCGGGGCTACGTGCCCGCGAGGCTCGGCGCTGCCTGCGAGGCAGCGCTAGGGGGGAGCGTGGCGGCCGGCGAGGGCGCCCGCTCGACGCAACACACGACGACGCGTGAGCAGCGTGTCGGTGGGCGAGTCGTGAGACGGTGCGAAATACGGAACGGTGGCGATGGCGGCGGCCACGCTGGTGCTGGCCCGAGCCATGTCGAGGCGAGCAGCTTGGCTGCCGCCGCCGCAGCCGCGAGGCTGCGTTCGCGTGCCCGAGGCCCGGCGGAGGGGCGTCGAGCCGCCGTGCCGAGGGCGCGAAGGCAGCGCCTGCGCGTTGGCTGGCTCTGCCTGGCTGACAGTACGAGTCGAGGCGACGGCGGAAGCCGTGCCGAGACCGCCGAGCGGGGCTACGTGCCCGCGAGGCTCGGCGCTGCCTGCGAGGCAGCGCTAGGGGGAGCGTGGCGGCCGGCGAGGGCGCCCGCTCGACGCAACACACGACGACGCGTGAGCAGCGTGTCGGTGGGCGAGTCGTGAGACGGTGCGAAATACGGAACGGTGGCGATGGCGGCGGCCACGCTGGTGCTGGCCCGAGCCATGTCGAGGCGAGCAGCTTGGCTGCCGCCGCCGCAGCCGCGAGGCTGCGTTCGCGTGCCCGAGGCCCAGCAGGGGCGGCGTCGAGCCGCCGTGCCGAGGGCGCGAGGGCAGCGCCTGCGCGTTGGCTGGCTCTGCCTAACAGACGGTACGAGTCGAGGCGACGGCGGAGGCCGTGCTGAGGGCGCCGAGCGGGGCTACGCGCCCGCGAGGCTCGGCGCTGCTTGCGAGGCAGCGCTAGGGGGGAGCGTGGCGGCCGGCGAGGGCGCCCGCTCGACGCCACACACGACGACGCGCGAGCAGCGTGTCGGTGGGCGAATCGTGAGACGGTAGGAGAAAGACGGGACGATGGCGATGGCGGCGGCCACGATGGCGCCGGCCCGAGCCATGTCGAGGCGAGCAGCTTGGCTGCCGCCGCCGCAGCCGTGAGGCTGCGTTCGCGTGCCCGAGGCCCGGCGGAGGGGCGTCGAGCCGCCGTGCCGAGGGCGCGAAGGCAGCGCCTGCGCGTTGGCTGGCGCTGCCTGGCTGACAGTACGAGTCGAGGCGACGGCGGAAGCCGTGCCGAGAGCGCCGAGCGGGGCTACGTGCCCGCGAGGCTCGGCGCTGCCTGCGAGGCAGCGCTAGGGGGAGCGTGGCGGCCGGCGAGGGCGCCCGCTCGACGCAACACACGACGACGCGCGAGCAGCGTGTCGGTGGGCGAATCGTGAGACGGTAGGAGAAAGACGGGACGATGGCGATGGCGGCGGCCACGTTGGCGCCGGCCCGAGCCATGTCGAGGCGAGCAGCTTGGCTGCCGCCGCCGCAGCCGCGAGGCTGCGTTCGCGTGCCCGAGGCCCGGCGGAGGGGCGTCGAGCCGCCGTGCCGAGGGCGCGAGGGCAGCGCCTGCGCGTTGGCTGGCGCTGCCTAATTGACGGTACGAGTCGAGGCGACGGCGGAGGCCGTGCCGAGAGCGCCGAGCGGGGCTACGTGCCCGCGAGGCTCGGCACTGCCTGCGAGGCAGCGCTAGGGGGGAGCTTGGCGGCCGGCGAGGGCGCCCGCTCGACGCCACACACGACGACGCGTGAGCAGCGTGTCGGTGGGCGAATCGTGAGACGGTGCGAAATACGGAACGATGGCGGATGGCGGCGGCCACGCTGGTGCTGGCCCGAGCCATGTCGAGGCGAGCAGCCTGGCTGCCGCCGCCGCAGCCGCGAGGCTGGGTTCGCGTGCCCGAGGCCCGGCGGAGGGGCGTCGAGCCGCCGTGCCGAGGGCGCGAGGGCAGCGCCTGCGCGTTGGCTGGCTCTGCCTAACAGACGGTACGAGTCGAGGCGACGGCGGAGGCCGTGCCGAGAGCGCCGAGCGGGGCTACGTGCCAGCGACCCGCGGCGCTGCCTGCGGGGCAGCGCTAGGGGGAGCGTGGCGGCTGGCGAGGGCGCCCGCTCGACGCCACACACGACGACGCGTGAGCAGCGTGTCGGTGGGCGAATCGTGAGACGGTGCGAAAGGCGGGACGATGGCGATGGCGGCGCCCACGTTGGCGCCGGCCCGAGCCATGTCGAAGCGAGCAGCTTGGCTGCCGCCGCTGCAGCCGTGAGGCTGCGTTCACGTGCCCGAGGCCCGGCGGAGGGGCGTCGAGCCGCCGTGCCGAGGGCGCGAAGGCAGCGCCTGCGCGTTGGCTGGCTCTGCCTAGCTGACGGTACGAGTCGAGGCGACGGCGGAGGCCGTGCCGAGAGCGCCGAGCAGGGAGACGTGCCCGCGAGGCTCGGCGCTGCTTGCGAGGCAGCGCTAGGGGGGGAGCGTGGCGGCCGGCGAGGGCGCCCGCTCGACGCCACACACGACGACGCGCGAGCAGCGTGTCGGTGGGCGAGTCGTGAGACGGTGCGAAATACGGCACGATGGCGGATGGAGCCGGCCACGCTGGCGCCGGCCCGAGCCATGTCGAGGCGAGCAGCTTGGCTGCCGCCGCCGCAGCCGCGAGGCTGCGTTCACGTGCCCGAGGCCCGGCGGAGGGGCGTCGAGCCGCCGTGCCGAGGGCGCGAAGGCAGCGCCTGCGCGTTGGCTGGCGCTGCCTAATTGACGGTACGAGTCGAGGCGACGGCGGAAGCCGTGCCGAGAGCGCCGAGCGGGGAGACGTGCCCGCGAGGCGCGGCGCTGCCTGCGAGGCAGCGCTAGGGGGGAGCGTGGCGGCCGGCGAGGGCGCCCGCTCGACGCCACGCACGACGACGCGCGAGCAGCGTGTCGGTGGGCGAATCGTGAGACGGTGCGAAAGGCGGAAAGATGGCGATGGCGGCGGCCACGTTGGCGCCGGCCCGAGCCATGTCGAAGCGAGCAGCTTGGCTGCCGCCGCCGCAGCCGCGAGGCTGCGCTCACGTGTCCGAGGCCCGGCGGAGGGGCGTCGAGCCGCCGTGCCGAGGGCGCGAAGGCAGCGCCTGCGCGTTGGCTGGCGCTGCCTAACAGACGGTACGAGTCGAGGCGACGGCGGAGGCCGTGCCGAGAGCGCCGAGCGGGGCTACGTGCCCGCGAGGCTCGGCGCTGCCTGCGAGGCAGCGCTAGGGGGGGAGCGTGGCGGCCGGCGAGGGCGCCCGCTCGACGCCACACACGACGACGCGCGAGCGGCGTGTCGGTGGGCGAGTCGTGAGACGGCAGGTGAAAGACGGAACGATGGCGATGGCGGCGGCCACGAAGGCGCCGCCCCGAGCCATGTCGAGGCGAGCAGCCTGGCTTGCCTCGGCCGCGCGGGCTCCTGCCCGTGGCGGGGTAGTAGGGGGGGGAGTGGGTCCCGTGTCGACGGGCCGCT